ACTGCTCAATATAATTTTTAATACACTGCTCGAAAATAAATAGGAAAAGTGTGACTTGTGGCGACCTAAAATTTAATTAGATTTTCGGAATAATGAATACTTTCCTAAATTTAGCGTTTTCGACAATTATCAATAGTTTCCAAATAATTATTACTGTTTGTCCTTCAAAATGTTTTATGTTGAATCCATCAGTTTTGATTAATCGAATATTAAATTTTTTGTATTCATTAGAAAATCACGCTGTATTCATTGTTACTGGTGAGAAATCTCATAAAACGAAGAGCTAATGAGGAAACTAATTTCTATAGATGAAAAAATAATAATACAATCGAATTATAAATTATATTTTGAGGATTTGAATTTTACAATACCAGTTATAATAAAAATAGGATTATAAAAACACAAGTAGCGAACTATGAATACAAGTTAGAATGGAATATATATATTTTCACAATTACAACTTATTAATAACAAAATAATGAACTGAAAAAATGTCATATAGCATAAAGATCCCACTGTAGGATCACTACGTTCATAACGTAGTTAGTCAAGCTCATATTTTTACGTACATTTAAAATTGGGAGAATCTATTTATATAAAAGGCTAGGATGACAAGTCACACTGTTTGTTCAGTAAGGTAACTACGCCACCTAGGAAAGAAATCTGAACTACCAACATCTACCAAAATTAAATATAATTAAGTAAAAGCTGTAAAAATGCTGTTGAGACAGAAAAAATTCACATTTCGGCATTGGAGCGTGTGATACGTTAAATGAAAGGGCACTACACAGTATCTTCAATATTAATGAACGTATAGCGACATACGAGATATGATAGGGTACTATGAATAAAAATAGATTTACCATAAGACAAATTTTGATTTTTTGACTTCAGGTTCAGTACAAAATAAACAACTGATTGAATCCTAACATGCGACATGGCAAATGAAAGGGGACGATATAATGAATATATTCAGATAAAAAAAATAAACAAGGCGACTACTAAAAGGGCACTATGCAGTATCTTCAATATTAATGAAAGTATAACGACATACGAGATATGATAGGGTACTATGAATAAAGATAGATTTACCATAAAACAAATTTTGATTTTTTGACTTAAAGAAGGCCTCAGGTTCAGTACAAAATAAACAACTGATTGAATCCTAACATGCGACATAGCAAATGAAAGGGGCGGATATAACGAATATATTCAGATAGAAAGAATAAACAAGGCGACTACTAAAAGGGCACTACGCAGTATCTTCAATATATGGTAGCTACTATGATATAAAAAATAGATTTACCATAAGACAAATTTTGATTTTTTCGACTTAAAGAAGGCCTCAGATTCAGTACAAAATAAGCAACTGATTAAATCCTAACATGCGACATGGCAAATGAAAGGGGAGAATATAACGAATATATTCAGATAGAAAAAATTAACAAGGCCACTACGCAGTATTTTCAATATTATTGAACATATAGCGACATACAAGATATGATATGATATACACTATGATATATAAAAATAGATTTCCTTTAAGACAAATTTTGATTTATTGACTTAAAGAAGGCCTCAGGCTGAGTACAAAATTAATTGATCGAATCCTAACATGCACTATAAATCTTCTCAGCTATTTAATATTCTGTTTTAAAGGTTCAAGAAAGTTATTTTTTACATAGCTTAAGTTTTTTAAGTTTAAAATTTAAGTTTTGTTTTTAATACTAAAGCATGAAGAATCAAACCAAAGCTGGATTTTAGGAGGCCTGTTATATAGTTTCTGCAAATAAGTAATACTCAAATTCTTGCAGAATATAAAATAGTAGAACATATGTTACACCCAGCTAAGATACCTACTCACAGACAGGAACAGTAACAGTCGAATCATAATTTTGAAAGACAAAATCAGATTCCACTTTCAGACAACGATGGCAAAGTGATAGCATATATCGCTGTTCCGGAAGTATAATGACATAACTGTAAAATTTTGAAAAATGACTTTGTGAAAAATATTGTGTTGGAGGGATCAAAACTGCATTTTCAACATATTTGTAAATCGTCGTAATTGTACTTACGAATTTCGCCATGACCGGTGATTCCGTAAGTACAGTTATGATGATTTAAAAATATATAGAAAATGCAGTTTTGAGCCCTCCAACACAATAAAGTCATTTTTCAAAATTTTACAATTATGTGTTTATACTTCTGGAACAGAGATATATTGATTTCCAAGAACGTAGAAATTCTTTATGATATCAAGCTTATCTGTACTGCAGTTCTACAAGTATTACTTAGTACAAAATCTATTTCACTTTGACTTAATGAACTTTGGGGGAATAATTAGTTTAGAGCACTCAACATAACCAAATATATTTTCCTCGAGGCATCGCGCACAGTGTTAAAATTTTTTTTTGTAAAATATGTATATGAATGTCCGTGAAAACGCGAAAGTGAACCTATGCCTTGGTCCATGTGTTAAAAACTATATAGAAAAATCTTTACGCTCCAGAACCCTTTAGTTTTTCATTGACACAAGAATTTTATTTACTATAATGTGTGTTAAAAGAGTTTTTTTTTAGTTTTTTGTTTTTCTCCAGTTCCTTTTTGCATGGTACTCCATGTTCTTCCTTTTTATGTGTTTGTAAAACTTATATGCTATGTGGTAACACATGTGTGTATAAGAATACATACAAGAGACAAAGAACTACACACATTAATAAATTCAACAACCTTTAAGAAAACATAAGTAACAACACATACAATAACCTACTAAGACACAATACTAATAGCACAACAGTTGTCAGTTTATCAAAGAGACACTTGAATGAAACAGACGACCTGATGCTTCTTTTTCTTGTCGTTCCTTCTTCTATCGGAGCTTGACTATCATTACAACTATCCGCACCTTATCTGATAAGATCTACTGAGCTGCAACTATACCACTCTCTTAGCTGCGAATCTTATGAATCTTTTACCCTTGTTTTAACCTTGCATTATGAGTCTTAATATCTCATATTTCGCACCTCTGGTAATGTGGCCTAAATATTCCAGCTTTCTTGTTTTGATGTGCTTTATGACCTCGCAATCCTTTTGTAGCCTTCTTAACACTTCTGCATTTGTAACTCCTTTGGTTCATGGTATTTTTAAAATCCTTCTATAGGATCCTTCTATAGGTCCAGTTTTTCATTCCATACAATAAAGTCAACAACACGTAGCATCTTAAGGCTCTTATCCTCAGCTCCAGAGGAAGCTCTCAATTAACAAACATTGTTTTCATTTTTATAAATGCTTGTCTTGCAATTTCAATGCGTGTCCTTATTTCTCTACCTTGGTCATTGTTTTCATTTACCCAGATTCCCAGATATTTGTAGTTATTCACTCTTTCTACTTGTTTTCTCTCGATATCTAGCCTTCCTACTATGTTGCTTATAAATAATCATGCACTTGGTTTTCTTAACGTTCATTTTTAGTCCATATTTTATACTGACTTAATGTAATCTATTTACTACGCGTTGCAGTGCTTCTAGACTGTCTGCAAAAACAGCGGTGTCGTCTGCGAATCTTATTATGTTCAAGATTTTTCCGTTTATTGATATACCCTGTTGTTCCTCTGATATTGCTTCCTTAAAAATAGCTTTGCTGTACAGATTGAATAACAATGGGGACAGCACGCAACCCTGTCTAACACTTCTTTTGATTTATATAATTTCTGTATCGACATTTTCGATTCTAACCTTTGCTTTTTGATTCGAGTATATATTGGGAATACCCGTATAATATCTCGACTATCCATATTCTTTTCTTTTAACAGTTTTACGAGTTTCTGATGTCGTACTCTATCAAAAACCTTTTGATAATCTATAAAGCAGACATAGAGATCCTGCTTCATATCTAGTCGTCTTTGGCGAGAACGTTAAAAGCGCACAGAGCCTCTCTCGTTCCTAGTCCTCCTCTAAATCCGAACTGGGTATCATCTATATCTTCTAATTTTTTGTATAGTCTTTCATGTATTATTTTGAAAAATATCTTAAACGTGTGGCTTATTAAGGAAATTGTTCTGTACTGGGAGCTTTCTGTCGCATGTACTGACTTTGTATATGAGGCATTTCCAATGCCTCATATTTGTTTATAACAAAACTTAATATTAAAATTTCATGTTATAGATTTTGAAGATTAGGTTTTAACAATCGAAATTCTACATCTTTCGGTCAATAGAAGTGTTTAGTTGTATTAATCTCATGAAAATAGTTAAAAAATTGCAAAAATTGCGCAACGTTCATTGATTTAACAGCTTTATAAAAACTAAATTCATTTGCAGTAAAATACGAAAATCACTGCATACCAAATTTGCACTCACTCTTTAGCTTTAAAAGAAATTTGTTTTTTGTCTATATGATACTCCAATTAGCAGATATTGAATTTTTATCGTCGAGGTGATACAAATTTTATTTTAAAACTTGATTTCTCATGCTTAACTGACATTCAAAATCGCCGGTTGCTTCAAGAGTTGTTTCTGAGATAACGGTTTATTCTTCACAAAAACTACCAATAAATATTTTTTCGATGTAAAAGATTTTTAGGTGGAAACCCAGTGGTAAAAGTCGCAAACCTTTCTGTATTTTTTGGGTGTTCCAAAATTAAATTTTCAATGAATGAAAGCTGAATTTTCAGCAAAATTCAGCTTGTTCTTCTCAGTTTTGTAAATCAAATCTCTCACGACTAGACTATCTATCAAATCAAGGAAATCCAAAACTTATTCTCAGTTTTATAAAAAATTATATGTGTCTGAATAAGTATTCTTCTGTTGATCACATATTTAAATCTCTTGAGAAGTTTCAGAACTGCTGATTTAAGAAATATTGCCTATATTGTTTGTTATGTCGTAATGGACATGTATGAAGTATTAATTCAACAAGATATTTGTTATTTTTGAAGTCAGTTTTGCTTATCTACCTGTGATAACACTTCAGTTCATCGCCTTCCACTTTTTATTTAGTACTTAGCAGTGTTTCACAAAGTTTGCTTATTTATTTGATCAATCAAATTTATATTAAAATCCCAACAACGTACGACATAGTCTCGGTAAGTAAAGAAATCTTTTAACATTTGTGCTCGTTTTTAAACTAACATTTCCGCCATTTAACCTTGTCAGTTCTAATCAGGAAACGCAACAAATATATTAGGGATTGATAATACATGATTTTAGTAAATATAAACTTATCTCTCGCCAAGTACGTAGTTAATCTCATAATTCCATCTATATTTTAAATTATTATCTAAATGAATAAGTAATTTACTGTCAAACTTTTTTTTAGTTAGAATCTGTAAATAATTGTATTTATAACAATACAATAAACGCAGTAACCCAATTACTCTACTCTCATATTTATTTTACTATACTTTTGGCACTTGAAATTAATGTATAGTACATCTTCATATTGGATGTCCATTATATCGATTAATTTTGTGTACTATTTTCACTTTACGATTGCTAAAGGACTCTTAGTTCTAGATTTCCGTACTATGCGGTAATTTACTAACGTTATTAACTTCTTTTTTTCAATCATATTCTTAAAAAAACTAAATATTATATAAATCACTTGTTTAATACTTGTTCTGGGTACTTACCGAACTGGTCCTGTTTCAAGTTTTCAGGTTATCTTAGATGAACTAGCAATACGAAGACAACAGATTTTTTTTTAAATTACGCTGCCAGATTGTCTTTTAACTCTAATAACATAAACTACCCACTTCTTTACAAACACAACCACCTACTTATTTCTATTATATGTATAAAAATTATAATATCCATTCCTTTAAAAGCGTTTACCGATTTATGGTTTTGACCTAGAGCAGCTGACATATTCTTATCGTAAACGATGGGCTATACCTCCCTAGACTACTAATATTCTCACTATTGATATAGCTCCCACAACCTATCCACAGAGTACCATGTCCCATATTGATAAAAAAACCTATGGCAGGAACAAATATCAGAATACACTAGCTATAACAAGACTTTTATTGATAAGATAACCAATAAGTGCCAATAAGTACCAATAAGTACCAAGAACTGAAATTTGACAGTGGCAGCGGCCTTTGTACTAGAAAATACTGAATATGTTCTTCAGAGCTTAAGGCAAATATATCCAGCACATGATATCCTACAACAAATACAACTTGCACTTTATCGCTTACAGAACAGATACGCAAACGTTAAATTTCTTTGGGTACCGTCACACGCAATGAAGACACAAGTGCATGAAGGGTCTATGTGACATTCGCAAGTTATTGAGAAAAATTAAGTTGAAATTTTTATACTAGAATTTTTTTCCTATAAGATCTAAATAGACTAAATTTATAGGATAGGTAGTCCTAAAACTACTATATTTATTAGTAATATAAAAAAAAAACATTTATTATTAGAAAAAAATTTAGAACTTAAACGTACTTAGATCCTTGATGCACTAAGTAAATAGCAGAAGTACCAAATTGTTTAAATACATAAAGGACATATGTAACCAATAACGAAAATAACACAATATGTTGATCTTGTTTATTAATAAAATATACAATAATTATTTCTTGGTACAATTTTTACAAAGATAGTAAATCAAATTAAAAAAAACTTGATTATCACTACAAAGAAACCTTAACGTGTTCTTCGCCAAGTACTTGGTTTTCTGCCGAGTTCTGCATCTTGTTGCTTTTCATAAATAATATTGGTGAAAAAATGTCACAGTTTTGTTTTGTTAGCCATTACTAATAAATTTAATTCTGGTTCTGTAACTAATTTTGTATTTTTACGGATATCTTCTTCTTCTTCTTAAAGTGCCCTCTCCTCAATGGAGGTTGGCTACTACAATTTTAAACTCTTCTCTATCTTCAGCTGTTGTTATTAGCTGTTCAAAATTTAGTTCTGTCCATTGTCGGATGTTTCTGAGCCACGATAGTCTTTTCCTTCCTAGGTCTCTCTTTCCCTCGATTTTTCCTTTCACTATAAGTTGGGCATATTGGTACTTATTATTTCTCAGTATGTGGCCTAGGTATGATGTTTTTCTAACTTTTACTGTGTTAAAAAGTTCTCTTTCCTTGCCTATTCTATGCAGCACGTCTTCGTTTGAGGTATGCGATGTCCATGAAATTTTGAGTATTCTCCGGTAGATCCACATTTCAAAGGCCTCCAATTTGTTTACGGTTGATGTTTTAAGAGTCCACGTTTCAACTGCATATAGAAGAGTCGACCAGACGTAGCATTTTGATAAACGTAGTCGAATTTCGAGTTTTATTCGAGAATCACAAAGGAGTTTTTTTATTTTTTCGAAAGATTTTCTGGCCTGTTCTATTCTCGATCTTATTTCTAGATCAGGTATTACGCTGCTATCGATCCAACATCCCAGATACTTAAATCTATTGACCTGTTCTAAAATGTGCCCATTTATTGTGCAAGGTTGAGGTACGTTTTGGTTTTTTCAGATTGACATCACTTTGGTTTTTTTAATGTTTATTTTCATACCAAATTGCTCACAGGTCGAGTTGGTCTTGTCGATGAGTCGTTGTAGACTCAAATCGGAATCCGCAATTAACACTGTATCATCGGCGTATCTGATACTGTTGATATTTACGCCATTCACATTGACTCCATCCTTGGAATCCTCCAATGCTTCTTTAAATAGAAACTCGGAGTAAAGACTAAACAGCAGAGGCGACAGAACACATCCTTTTCTAACTCCCCTCCTAATTTCTACTTTTGCGGATGTGAAACCTTCGATCCTAACTCGGACGTTTTGGTTCCAGTGCAAGTTTTTTAAAAATTTGATGTCTTTTCCATCTAAACCGACTTCTTGCAAACGTTCTAATAGTAGGTCGTGTCTTACTCTATCAAATGCTTTTTAGAAGTCTATAAAGCATATAAATATATCTTTCTGTTGGTCGTAGCATTTTTGGGCGAAAACTAGTAAACGAAACAGGGCTTCTCTCGTTCCCATGCCGGCTCTGAATCCAAACTGATCGTCTTTGATGATTGTTTCGCATTTTCCATAGATACGGTTATGTACGATTTTTAGTAGGACTTTTACTGCATGACTCATAAGGCTTATCAGACGGACCTCATTGCAGTGTTGTGGGTTTGGCTTTTTTGAAAGTGGGATGAATATTGACTCCAGCCAATTTTGGGGTATTGTACCTGTATCATAAATGCGATTGAATAATAGGAAAAATATTTCGAAATTTTCTTCGCTGATTAATTTTAACGTTTCTGGGTATATTCCGTCTGGACCTGGGCTTTTATTTGTTTTGAGGTGATTAATTGCATTTATGATTTCAGATTTCAAAATTGCTGCCCCTTTGGTGTTATTTTCCAATATTGGTTCTTCTCGTATGTCGTGAAAAAGAATTTTAATATAGTTTTCCCATTCTTTCAGTTTATCTTCCGTTGATTCTAGCAGTTTGTCATCCGTGTTCAGCATGGTGTGAAAAGTCGTTCTCTTGGTAGTCGATGTAAACTCTTTTACCTTTTTATGTAAATTAAAAAAATCGTGCCTTTGTTGCAGTTCTTCTATTTCAACGCATTTTGTTTCCAGCCATTTCTCTTTTGCTTCGGTTATTTTTTTTTTCGAATTATTCTATTTAGTCTTTTGTATTCTCCGTCCTTGTTATTTTTTCCTTTAGATTCTCTTCGTTTGTTCATTAATTGTAAAATCTCTTCTGTCATCTATTCCTGTTTGTTATTTCTATGTGTTACGTTTAGATGTTTTTCCGTTACATTGTTCATTTGTTATTTAATAGTTTTCCACAGAACGTTTATGTCATCGTACTCGCTAATTCTGTTGGGGTCGATATTTCCTAAATTTTTGTTTAATTCTTTATTTACTGTCTGATGTATGGTGTCGTTTTTCAATAATTGGATGTCTAATAGTTGGTGTTGAGATTTTTGTTTCTTTATTAGTTTCCATCTTGCGCGAACTTTTGCAACAACAGGATTATGGTCGGAATTGATGTCAGTTCCAGGATATGTTTTTGCACTGATGATTACATTGTGATATCTTTTGTTGACCAATATGTAATCTATTTGGTTACGGATTACTCTGTTTTCATTGTGTTGTGGTGAAGTTCAAGTGTACAATCTGCGAGGGTGTAATTTAAACCATGTATTTGTCGCTATCATGTTGTGTTGTTGGCAGAATTCGATCATTCTCTCTCCCCTGTCGTTCCTTGCTCCAAGTCCGAAGTCTCCGATCAATCCAGAAACTTTTCCTCTACCTAACTTAGCATTAAAGTCACCTAAGATAAATGTTAGGTCTCGTTTTTTGGTCATCTTTATAAGTTTTTCTACGTCAGCATACCACGCTTCTAGTTTTTCTATGGGTTTATCGGCCGTAGGGGCATAAGTTTGAATGAATATTTACTGGCTTTCCGGATAGTTGAATAAGAAGACATCGGTCCGAAAATGGCACAAAGTTTGTGACGTCCTTGCAATATTTTTCTTCTAAAATTACTCCAACCCCGTTACGATGAACCGGATCATTATTACCCGAGTAATAGAAAGTTTTGTTCATGGTTTTAACTTTACCTGAACTTGGCCATCTAACTTCACTCAAACCCAATATCTGCAACCCTAAACGTTTCATTTCGTGGCATGCATTTTCTAGTTTTTCTGTTTCGAACAGACTTCTAACGTTCCATGTTGCAATCTTAAATTGTGTATTCAAAATATTTAGGCTATTCCACCCAGGGGATTCTTCGCACCCCTTGATCATCTAAGATCTACCGGGGACTAGGGGCCATGTCTGTATGTGCTTTCATTGTAGTTTTCTTGGGAAATATATACCAGAGTGGTTTCCCGTTGCCTTCTCTGGTTTGTATTTTAGCCGATCCTCTGAACACAGACGCTATTTGAAGCCGCCCACTCTGGGTCAGACGCTGCGTGCTAGTTTGATCCCTACCACTTACCAACTCATCCGCCCGAAGCCGTTGGTCAGCAAGTGGGAGATCGCTTATACCGGCAATCGCTCGGTAAAATTTTCACCATATCTGGCTACCCTCACTTAGTTTAGCCTGCAGACCAATGCAGTTGCCCGGTGTGAGGCACGTGGAGCTATAAGTGAGAGTTAGCTGTCTTATGAGGACCAGTTATCAAGAACCATCTCCAGTCTATGACGCTCGATGTGGTCGTTCCGATAAAAGGTGCTACCTCTATAACACAACTCTACACACCAATAGAGTAGATATCCACACGGATATCTACTTTTAGGAAAGGTGTGAATGGATTCAGTATTCTTTGTATAAATTTTCACCATATTTTTTAACTCGAATCCATTTTACCTCATCGCTCATATTAATTTTGTTTTTGTTAGAATCTTTTTTTCTGTTAAATAAAAGTAAATTCTTTTCAATATAACGTCTCTATACTAATCTGGACTGAACAAATTCTCAATTTTTCTTAGCTTTGCTTTGAATGTCCTACTTCCGGAAACTTATATATCGTAACCTTATATAATATAACCTTAATATATCGTATTTTTTTAAGACATTTAATATAGACATATCAAATTAAAGTTTTTATTCTGACCAGCAAATAAATCAGACCATATGATAAGATGATCTATTTTCTCGTTTCTACTGGTTAACATTTGCACAAATGTGTGCAGAGAACTACCTACTTCTAAGCTGTCAATTCCAAGATTGTAGAACTACATCTGCCTTAGATAAAAACTTTTGAAAGTATAAGTCTTGGTAGTAACATAGTTTGTTGCAGGTCTATGGTTATATAACATGTGTTTTTATTGCCACGCGCATATTGCCTGTCTGCTTTCTATTGGTCAAAAGCAAAATATAAGTTTTCTTTATGCTCATCGTTTCCCAAACCTGGACACAGGTAAAATAAGTGTCACTCTTAAGCTGTTTAAATGAAAAATTAAAATATGTAATGAAAATGTTACAGTAAAAACTCTTTGTTACTGAAATCCTTTTATCCCGTTCATTTTCTTTGATATACTGTTCATATATTAGTACATTTTTGACATATTTAATAAAGAAGATAAATACATTTTGTTGGCATTTTTGTTTCTAGAATAGTGAGACAATTAAAAATATTTTTTTTACCTTGTTAATCCTTAATGATTTGGAGTTTTCTCTTTTTCGGTGAAAATTGCAGCAATATGTAGAAAAAAAAATACAAAACTAAATATATTTTTATCTACAAAAATGTTTAGCTTATGTTACCTTCTAGCCTGCTTTCATCATCTCCATCTTTTAACTCCATATAATGGCTTGTTTCATTATTGGGTTAATCAAGTCCTCCCTTCTTAACTCCATTTTCCTCATCTGCAACTTTTAGTTCTACATACTGGTTCGTTTTATTTTCCGTAACCTCATTTTTTTTAATTGACTTTGCTTTTTTGGTTGATTTAAAATATGTAGGAGTTAAAAAATATTTTTATAATATAAATTTTAAAAAGAAATAAAATATACAATAAAAGTTCTTATCAACAAGAAATAACCTTAAATGACCAATCACTTTTAAAATGGCTTTTATAACATGATAAACTATATTTACTTTTACTTTTACTTTTACTTTTACTTAGCTTTATATTGTATTTTAGCAATGTATTTACTTCTTAACGAAATTTTTATCCATAAGATTAGCAAGCAGAACGTTGCACACCATCTAGATGTGAATAATAACTACATATCCTGACTTTAAGGATCTAAATGATATATCACAGAAGGAGAAAATCAGTGTATTCAGGTATAAAGGATCCATGTACAACAAATCCATAGAAATCTCAGTGGATTAGGGATATAAGTAACATATTGTGTACATAGATTCTTTATGTACATACATTTTATAATTTACTGTGTACATAGATGTTTTACACTCTAGTAACTTGGCAAATATTAATTTTAACACGTGTTTTACTTGTTTGAAAGATTTCTAGTCTCGAACAACGTACTTTTAACATAAAAAACATATTGTGTCTTCAAGTATCGCAGGAAGTTAAAAAGTAAATAAATTGGCAAAGAAAGCTGCTACTAATAAACAAACTGAAATGATGAAAGCAGTTCCATTTACTGATATCCGGCTCAATATTAAACAGCAGTGTGTAAAAAATTGGCAACAAATGTGGAATTCTAATAAGACTCGTCTTAAAAATGCTAAAGCAAGGATTGCTACTAAAGTACAAATTCCGTAAAACAGCAGGTAACCGATTGGACATACAGCGCAGCGTTAACTTACAAGCATGTCATAACAAAAAAGTTACCACCTGAATATTCCTACTTTAACTGTTCAATAACTGTCCAAATATATTGAATAAATCCTTTCTTTATAACTACGAAAGAGCCATTAATACCATACCAGAAGAACCAAATAAACTTAAAGATATTTTAAACTATTATGTATCAAATGCAATCAGATTAATTAAGGACATACATGTACTACATAAAATGTAATAGTTACATTGGTAACTATAGTTACTTGAGCCTAGCTAGTTGAGCCTCGACCTTCCTTAGTCCATTGCGTCAATAGTTTGTGTTTCTCACCAACTAGTTTCTTGCTGATCTTTCTCGTGTCCTCGTCCACACCATTCCTATATCCTACTGGTTCTATTAATAGGGTTTGTCTGGGTGGGTAATTTTCATTTGATCTTGACACATGTCCAGCCCATCTAAGCTCATCTATTATATGAAAGATATTACATCTCTACCATTAACTATTTCTTTATTTTTCTAATACAATTCGAAATTATACCCGCCTTCTCCAAATCCCATTCTCTTTTTCTAAGAAGAGCAGACCATTTACGTCTGTTTTGGAAATGGTCCATGTTTCTGACCTATATGTCGGAATTGGTAGAATGAGTGTTCTATTTGTTTTTAATTTTGTTTTTTGGCCCAAATTTTATTTTTTGCTGCTTATTTAGCTTAAAATAACATTTTTTTACCATCAAATTTCACGGCAGAATGTAGTAGGATCTGGTTACCCATATCACAGTATATAGAGGTTCCACAGTATATAGAGGTTCCAGTGTTCCACAGTATATAGTGGAACCTCTATATACTGTGCCCATATTGAAAAAGGAAGTTATTAAAAAGAAAATACCAGTACTAGTAAGTCAGTAACATATAGAGGATACATTATTTATGTTTTTTAAATAACAAACATATAAAACCGGAATTTGGTGTGTATTGAAAGTAAACTAAATGCACGACCAAATACTTACCATGTTGGGATAGTATTATGAGGTTTCCTCCTGGTTTTCCCTCATAATTTACTATGAAATCACCAACATGAGAATTTTACTGTCATTATGGCATGTGTTTGTCTTTTTAAAGACGAATTACATGCTATGATTTTTTCTGACGGATATTCTCAAGTTAAAGTTGATTTCATGTAATCGAATGAACTATCTTATAAGTAAAGTCGTCCCAGGAGCGCAACTCAACAATATGGGCAATATCATTTTAAAGTCGTCAACTGTAAAATGTATAATGTATGTATGTCATGAATTGTCAATATAAATGAGTCAGATAAAATAAAATTATTAGAAGAATTTTCCACTAAGTAACAGTGAAAAAAACAAAATTTGTTTAATTTACTCATGTTTGTATTTTGAGAACGATTTCCGAAGTGGAAATTGAAACGTCAATAAACGTACGTTAACCTTTAATTGTGGCTTATTCCCATTTAAATAGTAATTACTTTAAAATGTCACAAGAAAATAGCTTCAGAACGATGATATTTATAGTAATTGTGGTTCTATTGTCGCCTTAATGCTAGGTTGTCTTTACATTCATTTTACTTGTTACAAGTAGTAATATTTGTTACGACGAATTCTTATTACGAAAAAATTGTCAAAACGTAAATTCTTACTTCCAGTTTTGAAAAAATTAATAAAACCGGAATAACTCAGAAACGACGATGGATACACTTATTTTAAAAACGGATTAGTGATAAAAGTGCAAAAGAATGTCTTGGTTTACTTCTGGTCAAACAAATTTTTCACTTCCGGTAAAAATTTTTGTTAAGTTAGGTGTATTTCTAAAATTTTCCTTAAAAGCTAGAGAGCTACCTTTGTATTTCAGGTCAAATTCTTACTTGGCAACAAAAGATCGATTAAATTTCGATCCACAACTTCGCTTGCAAAAAAAATTCGCACGGAAAAATGATTGTCGAATCAATAATGAATTTCTTCGCATTTATTTTCGTATTAATTAAATACCATATTGACTAAATATAACGTTATCTTGTTTTATTGATATTTGAGTATTTCATATATATGATGTGCCCACAATTTAGTATTGATAAATATCAGTCAAAAGGCTTTTCATTTAATTAATTGCTTGTTGCAGAGTCTCTATGATGATATGGAGGTAGACGAAAATCGATGCTTAGAATGAGCCCAGCTAAAACAGAAACAAGAAGAGGATGCGTCCGACCACCACATTTCGATATATTGTGAGTACTTTTTGGAATACTAAATATTAAAAAATAAAAAAAAAAGCAGACACGCATATTATATTAATTTTTTTTTTTTTTTAAACACATTGTCACATCAACATCTGAGGTTATTAGCGGCCTATATACATACACATAAGATAATTTACTTATAGATATTAAATTTTGTTAAGTAAGAAAATAAGTAAGTTGTGCAAAATAAGTTAAGAAAATATAACATCGAAGCATTCTTATCTGGAGCGATATATTGATATCGCGATTACAAAAAAGTTTTCTCATTCTATTAAAAGTTGAACGTGCAATTTCAAAGCGGCATTTTATTTCTTTTGTCTGATCAGTATATTTAGTAATCCAATGTATTTGTACGAAGATATTTGTTCAATTTCTGTATTATCTAGTACTAGCTTAACTTTGATGTTTTGTGCTTTTGTAAATACCAGAACTTGGTTTTCTTCAAATTGATTTTTAGTCCATAATCGTTACAATATATTATAATTAGTTGTTCAGCAAGGTATTGCAGTTCTTCTAGTGTTCCTGCCAATAGGACGGTGGCGTCAGCATATCTTATGTTATTATGTGGTTTACCGTTTATTATAAGGCCCTCACTGGCCTCGGCAAGCGCTAATTCTGAGATGACTTCACTGTATAAATTAAATAACAAGTGTGATAAAATACACCCTTGGCGGACCCCCTAGCGAATCTGGATATCCACGGTCAGTTCATTCTCACCTTTTACTTTTGCTGTTTGGTTCCAGTAGAGGTTACATATTATGATTGTAAGGTTCCTGATTTATATCTAAATTATATATATATATATATATATATATATATATATACATACATATATATATATACATACATATATATATATATATATATATATATATATATATATATATATATATATATATATATGTATATTATATGTTCGGAAACGTCGATATCCATTGGGCCAAGCTTTCGACATCTTCTCTGATGTCTTCCTTAGGGCTTTCTAGGTCTTAGTCTTCTGAGCCCCCACACACTACCACAGACACTGTAGTAGTGTTTGAGGGCTCGGGAGCCAGAGAGGATGTCGAAAGCTCGGCCCAATAGATATCGACGCGGTGCAATCCGGAAGACTGGTGAGTTTAATATTAATTTTTGTAATAGTATTAATCTTAGCTCTAGGTTTCATATATATTATATACATATACATATTAACCAATTATTAATGCAACCTACAATTTAAAAAAAAATCATAATAAAAAAAGAGAAATTAGGTTTAATAATATAACCTTTGTCATTAAGTAGATCTTATCTTTAGCTTCTGATAAACATTTATCTATTTAAACAAAATGACGGTATTAGATTTTGATTCGATACAGAGCAGCGACAAGCCGCATACACGTATCATGGCGTATCATTTCAAATACCGTTTATCATGGTCAAAATTCGTAGTGAATTTAATTTGTACCAGAAATTGAATTCACTACGAATGTAGTGAATTCAATTAATAGTCTCTTAACTTGTATGAACTCTGGAGGTAATTCTGATTTATTTTTTCGTATCGTCCCTAAAAAAGTAAATTTATGTGACTTGAGACTCATAGCAAGAGGTAAACTGGTAAACCAGTTGTCAGTTGTTACATTCCGGTTGAATCCATATATCCGTTTACACAAACGATCTACAATAGATTTGGCAGTATAATCTGTTTTGTATGGACCATTCGGTTGAGTGCTTACGTAAACTTCCATGTTTCTCATGTAGAACATTTTGGCATTACATAGTGCAAAAATTTTGATACCTTACTTATTTGGTTTAGACGGTATGTACTGTCTAAATGTACATTAACCTCTAAATCCTTCTAATTTCTTGTCCACCGTGACATACTTAGAATGAACATAATTTGCTTTTACTCATAGTGAGACAAAATGTTTCGATTCCTGTGCCGTCGGTCTTCTAGAGATCTTCAGTGTTGAGACGATTTGCTTTACTAACACCTGCAAGGTAAAGCATGTAACGATTATTTTGTTTATCTCAGGGTAAGGACATGGGGGAAAAGATTGGGCAAACAAAATAAATCGAAACAAGTGCGTACGGCACTCAGTTGGTTGTTGGAGAGCTGGGTCGTGGATAAGTTAAAGATATGGGGGTTGGATTGGGGCAACTACAAAAAAAGGAAAGAAAAGGGTACTTATACAAATCTCTTGGGACAAACAAAATGAAAATAAACCGGAAACACCTCAAGGAATTTAATATAGGGCGCCACTTGGGGTGCCTAATTATACCTATTACAACCACTAGTTGTAACTAGGGAAATAATTATAAAACATCAAAATATATCTTTTTCAAATAAAACTCAAAATGGATCAGAGAAACAAATTAAATGTTTATTTTTGTCTCAAACAAACAGTTATCAAAAATACAGATTATAAAAGAAACATATCATATAACATAATACAAAATAACAAAAATTTACATGTTCTTTGTTTACATAAAAGATTGCTATAAAAATTTTGAAATGGTTCCTAGGTTATATGTGGCCAATTTAGATTATCAAAATTTTATTATTATCTTTTTTATGAAAATAATATTGAATTTAATTTCTACGACAAAAATACTATAAAACTTTAATTATTACAAATTCTTTTATTTTAATGAAAGCAATTATTAAAAATGTCTTTATAACTTGGAAAAAATTAATATAATAAAAGTTACCTCATTTCTCACTTGTTTCACTTAACTTTGAAAAGGAAAAACTTGCTACATCTCTGGGAAGTTACTTGGACAGATTTTCAAAATGGAAAACAGGAAACCATTTCCGTACTCAGGCAGGAACGATCTAAACAGGAACCTGGTAGAGGAATCATGCTAACGACGGGGACATTCCATACCATACTTCTCAAAAATTGCCAGTTTCCATTCAAATCCAATTACCACTCTGACAAAGCTGCTTATACAAAGCAAATAATATTATCACTTTAACTGGTCTTAAGACATTACTAAAAAATTTAATCGACTCTTCGATTCACAATTGCCCCAGCATTAAATATCCGCAAAAGCGTCTACCACCCTTTCAAATCTGTTCTTCCACTTACATTGTAACACGTCTGCCCTGTCTAAAATCTATTCGTCCACTCTCATCTGCGTTAAATTTTACAAATACCACGCCAAATAAAATTTCCTCCTTGCGTCTACCAAGCGTAAACAAACAAATATCCCCTTGTTATTCGTTCCTAACGATGAAAGACAAATAAAACCTCTTTTTTATATTAAGGGGCATCATGAAATATAATCCTCTAGGCGACAAAAAACTTGTTGAAATAGTTATAACATAATACAAATTAAAAATAGCACGTAGTTTATTGACGACCCCAAAAACCGGTGTCTTCACCTGACTTTGTAACACAGAGATAAAAACATATCTATTGTTGCCTTATCTCGTCGAAAAAAAACTTGAAATATTTACAACATACATTTAACTGTGTCGAAATATTTTTAAAAAAACTTCCTATATTTACGATCTCTTGGTAAAAACAACCAGGGGTGTATTATAGAAATCTAAAATATAAAACGCTACAAGTAGGCCAAGTAATGCTTTAATGTTTGCAGTATTGGTTGGTTTGTGGTCCCTCTCACGAACAAAGTTAATAGATACTGCTTCTATCTTCTGATTTGTATGCAGAACTATAGTATTGAGAATTTTATTTGTAAAAAATTTATTCCATATATCAACAGGAGATGTTAAATGCTAAAGATTACGAGGTACTTCCGGTAAAACTTTGATTAAATTTTTGCTTCTGATTTTTGCTTTCTTCTTTTTAGGCGCACATTGTTTTTTCCACTTTGTAACTTCATCTTTACCGACAAAAAAAATCATTGTACTCAATCATTTCACGTGTCTCTTCGTACTCGCTGTCTGAATCTTCAGATCGTTTCTTAATGAAATCATCCTTACTTTCAGATTCCTCGACCTCACTTTCTGACTCTGCGTCACTTTCAACTTCTTCCATGAGCTTTTGAAGCCGGTTCTGTTCTCTTTTATAATCATACAGTTGGTTCTGTTCCCTTTCATAATCCCACATCACCTGTACAAAAAAATAATATTAGTTTTAGGTTAAGTATTATAAAATATTTAATTATTTTACCTGATTTTTAAAATTCTTCGTATACAAATAAATATAACTTTAGTGGACGCGTCGGACTCACACTCCGAAAACGATAATACATCTTATACGATTCAACGCTGAACGGTGTCCTTCGAGACTAATGCACACTAAAACAATTCTATCTAACAGATACTTTTAAAAGCTATACTGAGTGCTGTCTAATAATAAAAGTTATGGGTGAATAACATATGGGCCGGACTTACAGTCCGGGCACGTCTTCTGCAGGGTTAAACGCCCTTCTTGGACCTGCTCCAAAAAATAAATCTTGATCTCCCGTCCTAACCAAAACTTCTATGTCCTTTTAAATACTAAATTCTCCTAGCTTAAACTTCTGCCAATGCAGTAATAATTTATTATTACTTACAAATACTGTTAACATTAACTACCGCACTGCTACCAATGAGCACACCTGGAATCGCCACTGCTAACACTCTTTTAAACAAACAATTTAATATTCTCCTACCGTTCAAATTCACCGCGATTCAATCGCTTATTTTAGATGTTATTCTTTATACGAACAGGAATAGACTATCTATAGATAAAGGCTATATCCACTTTTAAAATACCACTAAACTTACAACTTGTCATTCCCTTTTCTTCAAATTCTCTAATAGTCATCAAATAAATATTATATTATCCAATATAAGTTGTTTTCGACACACACTTAACAATAGAATCTGCATAAATTAAATTTCTAAATACAGTTAATTGCTACTTTATAAGCCCCTGGTTAAAAAAAAACAACATTAAACGGCTTTTTCCTGATTTTTAAAACAAAATACTTTCTATTCATACAGCACTTAGTAAAACCTAATATTTTAAATTTCACTTCCAACTCAAATAAATCCT